ATCTGCCCATGGGTGTTTATTATTCACGCTGCACCATCCTGCCGGTTACTGCTGACTCTCCCAACTACAGGTCACTGAGCGCTGCTGAGTTTGTGTGACACATTCGGTACGTGTGCAGTGGGGAACACGGCAGAGTTCCTGTCTCCCGGGGGCTCAAGGCTTAATAGAGAGAGACAATATATGTAAACAAGTAAGTGAAGTTAAGTATTATGTGAGTGGTAAAATGGGACTCTGTCTCGATTTTGGCGGAGGCTCCAAGTAAGTAAAATGCCAACTATTCCACCATAAAATGGAAAACCACCAAAAGTAGAAATCCGCAGTAAAAGAGGGGGAGGGACTGCCTTTTGCAACTCCTGACTATCTATTCACTAAGTTAGGGGGAAAAAATTGAAGTTAACAGATTTTTAGAGCAATTTTGGGTGCATCGTGAGTAACAGCTTTCTCCTCGGCTGTTCCTAGGGAAAGAAACTTCAAGGATTTAGTGCAGTTGCGCTAATAGAACCATAGAGTCAGAGGCCACAGTGGACCAGTGCCTGGCTCACACTGAGGGGTTTATTCAGTCGGTGCTCACATAACTTTATCATACACTGTCACTACTCTAGCATGTTTAAAATAAATCAGTGAGCAGAATGAACAAAGCCTCTCTGCCTTCCTGGAGCCAGCGAGCTAGTGGGAATTTTGCTGATACACTGAAAAACGAGTTTGGGGTTTGGTCAAAGTCCACAGTTACTGAGGTCTGAGGCAAAGTACTCCTCTGTGAGTGTTCCTTTGGATCATACTAGGCTACTGAAAAGGATCGCATCAGAGGATAAAAAAAAAAAATCCACACAAAGATGCTAGCGATTAACAATGAGCTGACACCAGGCGGTGGTGGTGCATGCATTGAATCACAAAACTCAGGAGGCAGAGGCACTGCAGCTCTCTGAGTTCAAGGCCAGCCTGGTCTACAGAGTGAGTTCCAGGACAGCCAGGGCTACATGGAGAAACCCTGTCTCAAAAAACCAAAACCAAAACAAACAAGCAAACAAAAACCAGCCAGACAGTACATTTAGCCAAGTGTGAAAGATTACCAATATGTTCTCACTGGAACAAAAGGGGTTTCCACAGGACTCAGGAAGTGACCAGGTTAACTGGAAACATCCACCAGCTCTCAGTCACAGAACTGAAGCAGCTGACTTAAGACTTTCTTCTCCCTCCCTGTTTCACCTCAGAAGATGGTCTAGTTGGCAAGGACGGAGTGTGAAGGGGAAATGCAGGCAGGACACAGTCACCATTTCCCCATTTGCCACTGCGGGCTCGAGCCAGGAAAAACAAGAAACTTCTCCCTTAATATTTGTCTGATCATACGGAATGTGTTATTACTGACTGCAGGTAACTGACTAGTTGACGTTAGCGGATTTGTTGGCTTTTTTTTTAAAAACCTGATAGATCAAAAATGTCGCGAGATTCATAACATATTTTATTTGAAAGCACGGAAGCGTCAAGTCCACAGTGGGTTTGTTTTCCCCGAGGGTACAAACTCACTTGTATGTAGCACCACCTCCGTCTCAGTTCTCCAGCGTAGAGTTACAATTGCTAACATATGATTATGGAAATTAGCAAGTCCGCAGGGAAGAAAATTCAACTTTGCTCTTATTTAAAAGTTACTCTTGCTGGACACTGGTGGCGCTTGCCTTTAAGCCTAGCACTCAGCGGGTAGAGGCCGGTGGATCTCTGTGAGGTCGAAGCCAGTCTGGTCTACAGAGGAAGTTCCAGGACAGCCAGGACTACAAATAAAATAAAATAAAAAATAAATAAATCCCTATCTTTGAATAGTTATATGGTTTTCTATTATACATTTAAAACAAACACACGCCAGCTTTTATGTGAGCTAGTGTCAGAAGGTTTTTCTTTTGGTTGTGTCCGGAAAGATCTTTCTCTAGTAGGAACACAATGACATTACCATGATTACAAGCTAATGAGAAAACAATGCAAACAAAATGAGAGGCAAATCATTAAAGAAAGGCACATATGAAAAGATTTTCACTAGCAAATAAAAGACAAGCTCATATTAGTGGTACAGTGATATTTTGTTTGTAATCTAACAAATAAAGCTTACCTGAAGATCAGAGTGCAGAGCTAAGTCACTAGCTAGCCATAAAAGTCAGGTAGTGGTGGCGCACGCCTTTAATCCCAGCCCTCTGGAGTAGAGGCGGGTGGATCTCTGTGAGTTCGAGGCCACCCTGGGCTACAGTAGATTAATCTAGTCTCAAAGAGAAACAGCCAGGGGGAAGTGGCTCACACTTTTAATCCAAGCACCTGGGATCCACTGCCTTTAATCCCAGCACTAGGGAGGTGGAGACAGGAGTGATATGGCTGGATGAAGAGAGGAATATAAGCTTAGCAGAAGGAGACAGGAGCTCGGGGCAGTCTGGAGACGCCGTCTGAGGACAGGATGGATCACCCCTTCAGTCTGAGGATCCAGTAGAGGTAAAATGTCTCTTTAGTGGCTGGCCACTCTGCTTCTCTGATCTCTTAGCTTTCACCCAATATCTGACCCTGGGTTTTTATTAAGAACAGTTAGAATTAACATAGAGGCCGTTAGCTTTGTCTGCTCAGCAACTTGGCAACAGAAAAGGAATAAATATCCAGTGCTGGGGAAGGTATATACAAAGTGGCCTGTCGGGCATCACAGAGCAGAAATTGATGTCAAACCTTACAATTAACATACATTCATTATAGCTGTAAATGTGTCTTCTTCCCTTGGGCCTCACGAGCTTTATAAACTCATCAAGTACACAAAAGGTATTCATGTAGAAGAACAGTCACTGTACTACTTTCATAACAGCAAAACATGAGAATAACCTAGTAAAGCACCAATAATAAGTTATTATATTCCTGTATACTAGACCTCCAACTACTAAGAATAATACAGTCGTTTCTTATAGGCATAATAAGTTGACTAAAACTTTTTAAGTGTATTAGTATGAGCCAGTTTAACATGATCTTATTTATTTAAAAATTGTTTATATTTGTGTGAGGCACACAATTATAGACAAGCACTGTGAAGATTTTTCAAATGTTTTTAAAAATCTCCCTTAAGGGTAGATGAGCTAATCTGGATATTTTTTTTTAAAAATTATTTTTATGTGTATGAGTGTTCTACCTGCATATATGTAAGAACACCATATTGTGCAAGTGTTATAGAAGCCAGAAGAGGAAGTCAGATTTCCTGAAACTAGAGTTACAGATGATTGTAAGCTGAACCAAATGCATGCTGGGAACTGAATCCAAGCCCTCTACAAGGTAAATGCTGAGCCATCTCTCCAGTTTCCACAGCTATTTTTAAATGAGTATTTAACTTGCCCATTTATTCAAAATCTATTATTCATTCAGCAATACAAATTAAGCACTTATATGTGCTAGGCACTGTGCTACTTCAGGGCAAATAAAACAACTTTATCTATCAATTTAAAGTTAGAAGTTCTTCTTAAAAATAACAAGAGATGGCTTAGAGGTTAAAAGCACCGGCTGCTCTTCCAGAGGTCTTGAGTTCAATTCCCTGCAACCACATGGTGGCTCACAACCATCTGTAATGAGATCTGGTGCCTTCTTCTGGTGTGTACGTGTTAACAGAACATTGTATGGATAATAAATAAATAAATAAATCTAAAAAAAAATAATAACAAGAGCCTGGGCTGGAGAGACAGCTCAGTGGTTAAGAGTACTGGCTGCTCTTCCAGAGGACCTGGGTTCAATTCCCAGCACCACATGGCAGCTCAGTTATCTGTAACAGTTGCAGGGGATCTAACACCCTCACACAGACATACATACAGGCAATGCACATAAAATAAATAATTACAAAACTAACAAGAGCCAGTGTTGATCAATTTAGAGAACAAACCAATCTCATAAACTGTTGAGAGCATGGGGGCGGGTGTAAAGACTGAGAAAGAGAGAAAGACAAGAAAAGGAAAAAAAAAAAAACAAAAAACAGGAAACAGGAACCAGCACAATGTTTCAGGGCACTTGCTGCCAAGTTGTGAACTCTTAGTTCAGCTCCCCAGAATCCACATGGTGCAAGGAGAGAACCAATTCTTTCAAGTTATCTTCTGAGTTTCACATAAATGTACACAGGGACATAAACACACACATAAAATAAATAGATAAACGTAAAAGCAAATATATATTACATATATACATGAAAATATTTAGAATGTGATACTAATTGCTCTGAACGTTAACATTTAAGTGATGTCTTGCTCTGCCTTCAAAGTTCAGATTTTAAGGACCCTCAACCGAATCTGCGTACTTATCCTTCTTCAACAGAATTAGCAGTCTGTAGATGTCAGGTAGGCAGTGAGCACAGAGCTGTCTCCATTTCATTTGAGGACAAATCAAAAGACGCTCTTTAAAAATTCCTAAGAAAACTCGCACCTTCCCCCTAGCGGCCAATCTACCAGGCACGGCGTGTAGTTGTGGACAGCGAATCATCAAATAGCAGAACAGAACCCTGGTGACGTTCAAAGTCCGCTACTAGCGAGTAATCATAAAATGAGCGATACGACCATGGAACCATGAAGGATGGGCTCGCCATCGAGGCCAGAAATATGAACACAAACACATACCGCACACACATACACCGGTTCGGCAGCCTCTTTAGAGGCCCGAAATATGAACACTAACACAACAGCACACACACACACACACACACACACACACACACACACACACACACACTACGGTTCTGCAGCCTCTTTCAGCCAGGCAGCTCCTCAGATGATAAACAGCACGGCTGCGTCATCCCGAGCTGGGTTGCGGTGTACAGCCTGGCAGTCGGAGAGTTGGCGGGAATCTGTAATCCACCGGGAAACGAGCAAGGAAAGTCAGTGCACACCGTGTGGCCACGCCCCGGCTCCTTCCGCGCAAGGCAGTCCCGCCCCAGGGTTTCCCGCCAATCCCAGTTCCTCCGCCCTCCCAGACCCCGCCCACCCAGAGCTAGAGGGCGGGGAAGCGTTAAACGCCGATCCGTGGCTCTGTGATAGACTCGACTTCCTGCGCCGCTGCCGTCAAAACTTCGCAGGCGTCTCTGACGATCACCGAACCGGAGTTGGGTCCGTGCTCCTGGGTCGGCTGCTGGGTGTGATTGTCGCTGCGCCGGAGCTATGGTGTGTTGAGCCCCGGGTCCTCGGAGGGTTTGGGGCTGAGGTCCGCCCACAGGGTCTGGGATCGGCCTCTGTTCCATGCGGCGAGGCGCGGGGCGGTGGGAGAGGGAGCTTGGCTCACGGACGGGCTCCGGCAGTGATTCAGCATCTGCGGCCTGGCCGGCGAGGAGAGCTCGGTAGCCGGGGCGACCTTTCGCGCGGCTTCTCCACTTCACACGGGGTCCAGGCGCTTCTTCCTCGGCCAGCTAGACACCCTCGCCCCGCAGTTTACTTCAGTGGCTGATTCCTGTGGTCCCTCATGGCTGCATTGGAGCGAGAGGATAGAGGGTGCCCTTAGCCTCTAGGCAACACTAGCGCGGATCTGAAACAGGTCCTTAGAACAAGCCCATCTTCCTCGTGGGTCCATTTGGCTTTATCCGACTCCTTTGAGTGCTATGGGAAACGACTCCATTCAGACAGTTTGGTCACCTAGTTATAGATGAGAGAGGAAGTGATGGAATTACGGCTTACAACGTAAGGGGCCTGGACTGCTTCAGTCGAGTCTGCCATAAGAACTCTTTTCTTTCTCACTCTTACCAGTATTCTCCCAAGTGCCCAGACACTGGCTTTAGTAATGACTTTATAACTGTCGGGGTTCTGCCACTGTAACTATTTGTGCCCACCTCTTTACTTGAGGTTTTGTGTATATCTTAATTCATTCGGTGACAAGGTGCAAGGAGAGAGCACAAAGTTAAACCAGACATAACTTTCATCATACTGTAAAGATAAAAGAGATGTATAGAAAGCACGGTGTAGCCGGGCGGTGGTGGCCACTCGGGAGGCAGAGGCAGGCGGATCTCTGTGAGTTCGAGACCAGCCTGGTCTACAAGAGCTAGTTCCAGGACAGGCTTCAAAACCACAGAGAAACCCTGTCTCGAAAAACCAAAAAAAAGAAGAAAGAAAGAAAGAAAGAAAGAAAGAAAGAAAGAAAGAAAGAAAGAAAGAAAAGCACGGTGTATTGGCGCACGCGTTTAATCTCAGCACTCAGGAAGCAGACGCAGGCAGATATCTGTGAGTTTGAGACTGGCCTCTGGCCTGTGTAATGAGTTCTAGGACAGCCAGAGTGTAGAGACCCTCTGCAAAGAAAAAAAAAAGTACAGAGTTGGGCGCAATAGCACACACCTGTAGTCTCAGCGCTTGCTAGGTTAAGGGAGGGCCCCAAGGTCATCCTCCCAGGTACACGGCAAATGAAAGCCAAACTGGGGTGCATGAGAGCTTGTCTCAAAGAAAAACAGGTAGATATACTGAGAGTTTGAAGGAAAATGAAGCCTAGACGTTTGAGTCAATTAAACGTCTTTGGCAAATTATTAGAGCCCTGTATAAGAGAATGGTTTTAAGCAAAGAGAAAGAAAATAAGTAAGTGTGTATGTACTTTAGCACTTGACTGCCCAGGGGGAGTGCTGTGGACAGGAGCAGAATAAGTTAGGAAGACCCCGGTCCTCTCATCCCAGCAGTTAAGGTAGAACTGACCTACAAACTGAGTGCTGTAATCTTGTCTCAGGAAAGTCGCTCTAGCAAAAAAGCTTTAACAGTTGAACAGAAATAAATGCAAGGACACGTCTGAATGTTAAAATTTGAGTGTTATAATGTTCTCAAAGTAATCGGTCTTTCTTCCACTTTCAGTTTCGCAACCAGTATGACAATGATGTCACCGTTTGGAGCCCTCAGGTAAAATGTTTTGTGCCATATCTATGAAGTGGCTTTTCGTGGCTGGAATAGGTTCAGAAACTTGTGAGAGTGTAAACTGGGCTTGGTGGGGTTTATCTTAATCCTCATTGATCCGGATGCTGAAGTCAGGATCATGGAGTTGGAGAACAGTTTGAGCACTTAGTAGAACCTTGCCTTTAAAAGACAGAGAAACAAAACTTGTGAAATTATAGGCTGTGAACTTAGAGTTAGAATTAAAATTAGTTAGCCGGGTGATGGGGCACACACCTTTAATCATATCACTCTGGAGGCTGAGGCAGGCAGATCTGAGCTCAAGGCCAGCCTGGTCTATAGAGGTAGTTCTAGGACAACCAGGGGCGTTACACAGAGAAACCCTGTCTCAAAAAAAAAAAAAAAACGAAAAAAGAAAAGAAAAATGATTAATTGGTTTTAAAAATGAAATTTAATTATGCTCATCTGAGATCTGGAAACTTTAACTTTGAATTTATAAAAGCATCTTCTAAGATGGTGTTAAGATGTGCTTTTCTTTTTGTCTTTAGGGCAGGATTCATCAGATTGAATATGCAATGGAAGCTGTTAAACAGGGTTCTGCCACAGTTGGTCTAAAGTCAAAAACACATGCAGTGTTGGTTGCGTTGAAGGTGAGTGAAATGATAATCCCGTCTTTCTTCTTCAGGAAATAGAACCACTAATGTAATGGTAAATAATAAAATTGTAAACTAAAATACCTGTCGTGCTCTGTCTCTATTTAGAGGGCACAGTCAGAACTTGCAGCTCACCAGAAGAAAATTCTCCATGTTGATAACCATATTGGTATCTCGATTGCGGGTCTGACTGCTGATGCTCGACTGTTATGGTATGTATAACCATGAAAAATTAAGTATCCCTTTGATTCATAATGGTTCGTTTTTTTCTAGAAAATACCCTAATAACATAGTTTAGGAAGTTGTTTCCCAAAATATTATAATTTTAATTACTTATTTTATCTTTATGGATACTTTGTCTGCGTATATGTTTGCATGTACTGGTGTGTGCTCAGTTCCCTCAGAAGCCAGAAGAGGACATTAGATTTCCCTGGTATTAGAGTTACAGAAGGTTGTGAGCTGCCATGTGGATACTGGAATTGAATCTGGGTCCTCTGAAAGAGAAACAAAGCTATCTCTACAGCCCCTAGTATATTATAATTTATAATACTTGAGTGTGTTACTAAACACCCTGCTTCCTTATTCTTATAGCGTTCTTAAACATCCTAATGCTTCTGAAAAGTCCCTGAATGAGATGGTTATTGGCGTGTGTACTGTTTCAGGCCCTGTATGCCTAAGAGCTGGGCACTCCTCTGTTCCAGGATGATCCGAACCATTCCAGTTTTCTTCGCTCTGTCAGTAGTTAGTATACATTTGTTTTCACAAAGCTCGGTAGTATATAATATGGGTATAGAAAGGTGACTCAATTATAGATCTTGTCTTCAGGGAACATAAGCCTATTTTATTTATAACACAAGGTACAAAATAGAGAGTAATAGGCAAATTTCTTTGACCAACCCAAGGAGATAGATATTTCTTGTTTAGAAATAGCACATAAATGAAGTGATAGGACTTTGAGATCATACTAATTGAATTCTCACCTCGTAACTTAGTATCTTACATTGGGCTAGTTACTTACATAATCTTTCCCAGACGTGTAAAATACTTAACACTGCGGCTTTCAGAAAGTGGGAGAGGACTGGAAGTGAAAGTGGCCACAGCAATCTCTTTAGTTCGTCATGGTTTGATTAACATTAAGAATGTTAGAGGAAGGGCCATATTGCCGTGGGTTAATTTTCAGGTTATTCAGCCAGTCTCTAGGTCAGAAGTAGAATGGCGCTGCTTGTGTTTCTGCTCTCAGAATACGAAGTCTGGCGTGTGCTTAAAGTGCTGCTAACTCAGATCTAAAGTACTACCAGGCCATCATTCAGTTCGTGTGAGAGCCTTAGTACTAAGATGTTGTGAGTGGGTTGGTGTTATCTTTTGTTTAAAATACATTTTAGGGGCTGAAGAGATGGCTCAGCAGTTAAGAGCATTGCCTGCTCTTCCAAAGGTCCTGAATTCAATTCCCAGCAACCACATGGTGGCTCACAACCACAACCATCTGTAATGAGATCTGGCACCCTCCTCTGGTGTGTGGGCATACATGGAGGCAGAGTGTTGTATACATAATAAATAAATAAATCTTTAAAAAAAAATAAAATACATTTTAGTTAGCTGTTTTCCAAGTCCTTAGGCCCACATGTAATTAGTCCATGCCATGTTAAGTAGTCTAATTTTAGCAAGCCTTAGGAAATTGACTTTAAAACACTAAACAGCTTAATATTTACATATGGTCGGCGTTTGATGAGGGCCAGGTGTTGCAATTTTTTTAAAAAGCAGAGAGAGAGAAAGACCTCATGTGAGAGAGCTCACGTGAAGGGGTTTTTTATTGGGGGTAGGAGAATGGAAAAAGAAGGGGAAAGACCAGCCTCTGGGGACAGAGACAGCAGTAAAGAAGAGAGAGGCAGAGACAGAGAGAGAAAGAAAGGTGGGGGGACCCTTTTAAAAGGGAGCATAGTGAATGTGCAGAGGAGGTGCTATTGGTGGCTACAGCTGAGGATGTATCCTGTCAGGACCCCAAGGGCAGGCCAGTACAGATGCCTGAATACTAACACCAGGAAATCAGGAGACTTGCCTATCTCGGCTTTGAGGCCTAGGTTTGACTTCCACATAAAAAAAAAAAAAAAAAAAAAAACACCCCAGAGAAAATTTGGTTATCAGATGTGCATATACTAGGAAGCCAGTGTGGAGAGAAGGGAGCACAGCTCCTCTTTTATAGTCACAAGCTTTCTTCTTGATATTTACCTAGCTTGGATCTTGTCAGAATTACCAGTGAGATTCAGCTGGGGGATGGCTTGTGTCTCCTCTAGAGTGGCATTTACTGTCTGCTTTGAAGAAAAAAGCAAAGTTCTTCCTCTTTTTTCTGTTTTGAAACCTAAAGTTAAGGCATAATGTTGTTGACAGTGGGAACAACAAGGAGAAAGAGGGTGCTTTCTTAGCTCAGCCTTCTGTAGTCTTAGGTACTCTGGAGTCCAAGATTTTGTACAGAGGAACAGTTCAGTCTTTTATTTAGTTCTTAACGTACTAAGCAGTTTTTATTATGAAACTAGTTTCAGAATTCTTGCCTTCATTTTCTAAATGCTTGATTCCAAATGCCTTGCCTAACTTGGTTATTTATTTTATTTAAATCTCCATTTGGCTCCAGAGTTGAACATGCACACACACACACACACACACACACACACAAAGAGACAGGGAGAGGAACCATTTGAGCCATATCTTACCTTTCTGATTTTTATGATATACTCCATGAAAATGTTTGCAGTCAAGCAAAATGGAATCAAACTGCTTTTAATGTTTAGATTGTATTTATTTTTGGAAATATGAACTGATTAATTTTTGTTTTCCTTTTTAGTAATTTTATGCGCCAGGAGTGTTTGGATTCCAGATTTGTATTTGACAGACCACTTCCTGTGTCTCGCCTTGTGTCTCTAATTGGAAGCAGTATCCTTTATGTTGGCATTTATAAATGTAAACTTTAAAGAGTTTGGGTACAGAGTTTGTCTTAATTATTTGGAATGTGGTAGTATAAACTGTAAATCAGATTGTAAAGGTTTCGGATCACATTTTTACTAGCCGTGATAAACAATTGGTGTTTCCCAGACACGAAAGCCCAATTTAAGGAAACTGTTCAGTTGTCAGTCTTAGAAAGTTTCTGAATGGTTCTTCTAGTTATCCCCCAGAGTTCTGGACCTTTATATCCAAAACATCCCCATATAGGAAGAGATTATTCTGTTAATGTTCATGCTTGACTTTGGTGGAATTCAAACTTGGTATGTTATTAGGCCAAAGGAATGCCTTTCTATTACTTCTAGAAGATTATGGGACAATTAAGAGGCTAAAAGAGCCTGGGCAGTGGTGGTGCACACACTTGGGAGGTAGAGACAAGCAGATCTTTGTGAGTTCGAGCCCAGCCTGATCTACTGAGAGAATTCCAGAACAGCCAGGGTTATATAATGAGACCCTGTTTTGAAGAAAAGAAAAACTAAAAAAAGAAACTGGAAGTCTTTAATTTGTTCCTTGTTGAAACAGGCTCCTTAACTAGTTTCAGAGACCCAGATCCCAACACAGCGATATGGCCGGAGACCATATGGTGTTGGACTGCTTATTGCTGGTTATGATGTAAGTCCATAGAGTATTGTTCTTGTGTTAGTTACTTTTCTGTTTCTGTGAGAAAATAACTGACATAAATAACCTAAGGAGAGACAAAGTTCATCATGGTAGGAACTTGAAGTAGACTGTCGTGCTACATCCCACTTAGAATGCTGGGAGAAATGAGTGCTGGTGTTCAGCTTATTTCCTGTACTTAGGTCCAGGACAAAGCCCATGAGATGGTACTAGTCACTGTCAGAGTGAGTTTTCCTTTTCATTTAAACCTGTCTGGTGCTGGGCGTGGTGGCGCATGCCCTAATCTTGGCCCTTGGGAGGCAGAGGCTGTCAAATCTCTTGAGTTTGAGGCTCATCTGAGCTACAGAGTGAGTTCCAGGACAGCCAGGACTACATAGAGAAACCTTGTCTTGAGAAAACAACAAAAAAACTTTGTAGAAATGCCCTCATAGACACACTTAGAGGAGCATCTCCTAGGTGATTTAAATCCAGTCAGATTAACAGTGATTAACCATCAGTTACCACAATTGTATCCTAACAACGTTTAAAACCTAGAAACTGCACTTTTTAGGTCAGCCGAAGGCAAGAATTACATAGCATGTTTTTCTGTTCATAGGATATGGGCCCTCACATTTTCCAAACTTGTCCGTCCGCCAACTATTTTGACTGCAGAGCCATGTCTATTGGAGCCCGTTCTCAATCAGCTCGTACTTACCTGGAGAGACATATGTCTGAATTTATGGAGTGTAAGTGTAGTTTGGCTCACTTTATTTTGTTTTCCCTTTATATAGTCAGTAAATCGATCCTAAATGAGAACAGCTATTAGACTTTAGTTTTTAATAATCCTAAGTTCATAAAGTATCTGTTGTTGGTGTAATGTATACTAACTTGTACTTCTGAGCTACTAAGAGAACTTTACCAAAACATAAATGTGTCAAGCCAGGCGTGCACGCCTTTAATCATAGCACTCAGAAAGCAGAGGCAGGTGAATCTCTGAGTTTGAGGCCAGCCTGATTTACAAAATGACTTCCAGGACAGCCAGGGCTACACCGAAAAACCCTGTCTTGAAAACACTAAGAACAGTATGTGTGTCCAACCTTGAGACTTCTTGATACATTTGGTCAGAGCTGGAAACCATTATACTAGTTGCTGTTTGCAAGTTCTGTTTACAGCTTCTGGTCTGTACTTCTGTTTCTCCTTTAGGCCACATAGAGTTTGTGCTTTAAGTGGCCCATAAAGAAGTAAAGGCAATATAGCTGTGGGAAAAGAGGGTGAAGGGCGTAAGACGATGAGCTGGTTTTCAGGTGTTTGCTTTACATTAGAAGAAGAGTTAATATCCAGACTTTAAAGATTTCTCTTGGTTGTCTTATAAGATTTCCTGTTGGCAGTATAGTATTCTTTGAAGGAAATACTTGAGGCTTAGTGAATATAGGAGTTAAAATTCAACTGGACATTCACAAGATCACCTGCTTCTTGGGAAATTTCAAGGGCTAAGCACTTAGCATGTAGTCATACCTTGACTAAGACTTGGAGCAGAATAAGGGTGCATTGCATGGTCACAGAAGGAAAAGACAAGCTGGGTATCTACAGGCTTCCTCGTGCTCCCACCCTTGTGAATGTCACAGCAGCTGTGTGTGTTTCTATCTAAATCTGCAGAGCATTTGAGTATTACTCGGCTACTGTAGTACAGATGACGCTGATTTATGATGCCTCAGCTCAGGGTATTTTGAATTTATGATGTACAAAACCAACATGCACTCAGTAGGAAATGAACTCCTGAATTAGAATTTTGGGTTATCCACATTTGGTAGAATCCTCTATCATGATGCAGGGAGGCAGGCAGCATGGTCTCAGCCAGCCACACAATCACATATTGCTAGGCGATAACATTTGGTAGGCAAGATTCTTGTGTTGAATGAACATTTTACTTAACATTTGTGTTTACTGTGGATAGTAAGTTAGGCAACATCTATACAAGTCTTTTATGCTTAGACATGGGATTTTGTTATATCTACTTAAGTCTTTCAGTGGTATCTTGTAATTTTCAGTTTATGTCTTGTGGTTTTTTTTTCTTTAGTTCATTCACATTTTATTCTTTTCATGATGTTTTAAGAAATATCATTTGCAGGTTGCCCATTGTAAGAAATTGATAATTTTATATTGATTTCATATCCTCCAACCCTGTGTCCAAAAAAGAAAAACAGCATTCTATAAAACACATTTTACAAAACTAGAATGGCATTTGTGAGCCAGGACTTTTATTTAACCTAGTGAAAGAGTGTCATATTTATTAATAAAAGACATCAAATCATTGATACTAGTTGATATTAGATTAGATTATATGGCTAACATTACATTTGTGGCTATTTTATTCTGTGCAGTATGTCACTCAAGCCAAAATTTCAGACTATAGACTTGATAATTAAAAGAAGCATTTTATGATAGTGAAATTAGATTATTTTTAATGTATTGCATACAGGCAATTTGGATGAGCTGGTTAAACATGGTCTGCGTGCCTTAAGAGAAACACTCCCTGCAGAGCAGGACCTGACCACAAAGGTAACTCATGGTTCTTATTGTAGGTATTAACAGTGCAGTTTAATTCTCAATGGCAACTAATAAAATAGCATGTACCTAAGTTATTTTAATTGGGCTGCCTTGGCTTATATTTCCTTTTTATTCACAAAAGGATCTGGTTTTGAAATGTCATGTTTTAAATAATAAATAAATATTTAAAAAAAAATTTTAGGATGGCAGCCAGGCAGTGGTGGCACATGCACGCCACTTATCCCAGGATCTCTGAGTTCAAGGCCAGCCTGGTCTACAGAGTGATTTCCACCATAGGCTCCATAGCTACACAGAGAAACCCTGCCTCAAAAAAACCAAAAACTAAATAATGATAATATTTTTAGGATGGAAGAAATTATGTCACATTTACTATATTGTTATAATAATTCAGTGTAAAATGAAATAGTTGTATAGGAAAGATGTGAGGAAAATGGCCAGATCCATGTCTTTTATCAACACAGAAGTGAAAAGATAGCTGTCATGAAAAAAACTGGAGTGTTTTTCATGGTAATGAGAAGAAAAAAAACCTAGACACGTATCTGTCTTCCAGTTGCTTCTGTGTTCTCAGTGAAATAGAAAGCCAGGTTTCCAGCTGAAGGAGAATAGAGTGTTAAGGAAATGTCTGAGAATGAGAGATTGGGGTTAGAGGTGTGGTTCAGCGATAAAGCACGTGCTCCTGATGCCAGTCCTCAGCACTGGGGGAGGAAGAGGGGAGGTAAGATGGTGTAGGTCCTAAGTTGTATGATTCACATAAAAGAGCAGGGGAGGTATACTTGGGTTTACTACAGTTAAATGTGATAGCATTGTACAGCTATTGGTTGGTTATTGGATAATTACTATTTAGTATCTAGTTCCGTGGTCTTGGCCTGTAGGCTATGACCGCCCCCTTGGGGGGTCAAACAACCCTTTCACAGGGGTCACATATCAAATATTTACATTCTGACTCATCACAATAGCAAAATTAGTTGCAAAGTAGCAACAAAATAATCTTGTAGTTGGGGGGGGGGTCACCACAAGATAAGGAACTGTATTAAAGTATCGCAGAATTAGGAAGGTCTAGAGCCACTGCTGTGGTGAAGACTTTGTTTCTAGAGACCATGGAGCTTGGAGGCTAGTCGTGATAACCGAAAGTGAATGTTGAGTCCGTAATTGAAGAAAGGATAGTTCCCTGCCTCTTTTCACTCCTACATACAGTTTTTCAAACTTTGAATTTAAATGCTGTTTTAATTTTTCTACTTTATTGCCCAGCTTTTATCATACACTAATTGTCCCTTTCCACCCTCAGAATGTTTCCATTGGAATTGTTGGTAAGGACTTGGAGTTTACAATCTACGATGATGATGATGTGTCTCCTTTCCTGGATGGTCTTGAAGAAAGACCACAGAGAAAAGCACAGGTATGTTCTAACTGTAACATGAGGCTCTGCTCTTCCTGTCACAACCGTGGCCGTTCCCTGCTCTTGTCTTGTTGATAGGCCCATAATTGAAATAACCAGAAAGAACCGAGGAGTCAAGTAAAATATTGAAGTGTAATCTCATAAACACAAAAAGGGAAAAGAGTTTGGTTTTCTATTGTAACATATTTAAGGTGACCCCAAAATTTTCAGAGTTAGACCACATTTCTCAGAGTTCTCTTATGGACCAAGGCATAGCTAAATGGTTCTAGTGCTGCTTTCAGTTGGGGTCTCACACATGCTGCAGTCTGATTAAAGAAGGGGCAGAGCATCTAAGATGACTTTATTATTACCTGCTTTCTTGGTATCTCAGAGAATCATCTAGAAGGCTGTGAGCGACTAGAATGAGTAGGCTCTGTGTATTCTGAGGGCCCCTCCAACAAAGTGGTGGATCAAAGCTTGCAAAAGTTCTAAAGTAAAGGTTACCAGTCATTCTTAAGGCTAGACCTTAGGATTCACAGATACAACCTCGCTTTAGCAAATTCTTTAGATTAAAGTGAGAGACAGGGCAGCCTAGATCTTCTGAGAAAGGTCCGGAAAGGAATACTTATTGGAAGCTAACTTTGGGCATTTAGGTTGGCTCTCCATAAGTGGCAACCAAAAAACATTAAGAACTACTGACTTAAAAACTGAAAATCAAAATGGTGAATCTAGGGTTATAAATTTTTCCTAAGAATATGCATTTGAGTTTTTCCCCCTCAAACTTATCTTCCTGCCACAGCCTCCAAGCTTGTAGGGATACAGGCCCGCACTGCACACACAGCTCACATGTGGTACGAATGGAGGAAGATGTCACAGCTGGGGATAGAAAAAGTGATGCGGAATTTTCCCTACAGATTATAGGATCATGCCTATATCCCAGCACACTGAAACCCTCCCTCCCAAAAGGGGGTGGTGGTAGAGTTTCTTCCAGCTTGAGTCTTTGAGTTTTCCTCAGCTTGACAAATATACTATTGGTGCTGTTTGGGAGGGTACAATCTGCATTTAAGTTGTTAGTAAGAATTAGCACTGTTGGGAAGAATGCTCCAGAGTTCCATGTATCTAGTTTGTTGGTGTTTTTTCTGTTTGTTAGTTGAAGAGAAGGAAGTTTAAAAGGTGCTGCTGGCTGTGTTTTAAGCATAGCAGTGTAACATAAGAAAATCTTGAAAGAAAGAAAGTCTTAGGACAAATGATAAAATGTAGAATTAATCATGATCTTTAAGTTTTAAGAACTATGATTTTTTTTTAAGCTTCATTCAAAAATTTTAGCAGGATGCTGTACTAAAATCTAGTTTTTGATATCTTTTAGCCCCCTTTTCTCATTAATTTTTTACATTGTAATGCTCGTGATTTAGGAGTGTATATTAAATGTTCACCTTACATCTTTTTATTTCTTCTTCTTTAAAGCCTTCACAGGCTGCTGATGAACCTGCAGAAAAAGCGGATGAACCAATGGAGCACTAAGTGATAAAGCATACAGGGCTATGAGGACAGAGGGACATACGCTGGTGCAGTAGTCTGCGCTCAAAACCAACATCTGCAGAGCATGGGGTGGGAGGTTTTAGGAATCAGTCCAGATGTGAGTTTTCTCCGAGCAGCTTCACAGAAACCATATAATGGGTGCATTTTCTTTGAAAGGGTCTACATAATCATTTTCTAGAAAGTATAGGTATCTATCCCAATGTTTTTATATGAAGAAAATAGTGTCTTTGCAGTTTTAAAGACAACTGTGAAATAAAATTGTTTCACCTCCTATTGTATCAAATTTCTGTTTTTAAGTAGTTTCAACTATTAACATATTCAACTATTGACATTGTTACAATGGTCATTTGTCCTATCTGTCAGATTATTTTGTTTTGGCTTGCTTTTTTTTCTTTCTTTCTTTTTTTTTTTTGTGATACAGAAAAATACCTTTTACCAACACATTTAAATTTGCTAGTATGTAGACTAGCTACATTGCAAACCCATGCAGATGGTCTCAAAATACAGATTTCGGGATGCGTTTTTAGGGATTATTCTGATTGAAACTGAGAAGCCAAGCCAGGCATAGGGGTGCAGGCTTTAATTCCAGCACTTCTGAGGTAAAGGTGGAAGGATCAGGAGTTAAGGACCATGCTCTGCTACCGACGGTGTTTGAGACTTTGTCTACGTAGTAAGATGTCACCACTTCCACCAGAAGCAGAGTATTGAGCTGGAGATAGATCTGCACTTAACCTGTGGTCACCTTAGGTTCAGTCACCCCACTTCTTTCTCTTCCCCACCAAAGCAAGTTATTAGAATGAGCAGTTTTTCCATCCAGCCAGCAGATTGCAATAGTTACAGCTCTGGGCTCTGAGGAACTTGACAAAAGTAACAGAAGAGGTGTTTTCATCTCAAACCTTTTACCTCAAATCTAGTATGATCTGGAGACTATCTTCTGTTCCCCTCATGAGCCTTCTGCTTGGAGTTAGCAAGACAGTTTTTATTTTTTGTTGTTGTTATTTTGTTTTTTTATCGAGACAGAGTTTCTAGCTGTCCTAGAACTAGCTGTCCTAGAACTTGCTCGAACTCACAGAGATCTGCCTGTCTCTGACTCCCCAAGTGCTGGGATTAAAGGTGTAAGTCACTACCTCCCTGCTACATTATCTTAAGCCATGAAGAGTAAAATCAGAGGAAGTCCTTTTTAGAACAAAAATGTTTACTTAATTAGCCTGGAGGAGTTACTTCCAAATGTCGCACCCCTTTCTAGAGAAGAGAGCCTTCTTTATGGATAGTAACCCAGAGTATAGACCTAATTCTCTAAGAAGCTGATTTAGGATTCAGGTAAGTCACCTAGTCCTCCTGTCATAGAGAAGCCCTTTGAAGAACTACTGTAGTCAAGAGAATTTGTGGGGGCTGGAGAGATGGCTCACAGCTTAAGAGCACTGACGCTTGCTCTTCTAGAGGTCCTTGAGTGCAATTCCCAGCAACCACGTGGTGGCTCACAACCATCTGTAATGAGATCTGGTGCCCTTTTCAGGCCTGCAGAAGAGACATGCAGGCAGAATACTGCATACATAATAATCTTAAAGATAATTTGTAGTGGGTCTTGGTGGCTCACACCTTTAATACTAGCACTTGGTAGGTAAATGCAGGTTTATCTCTGAGTTCGAGGCCAGCCTGGTCTACAAAGTGAGTTCCTGGACAGCTAGGACTGTTACACAGAGAAACGGTCTCAATAAACAACAAAAAACTCAGTAGCTTAGTTCCCTCTATAACTTCTTGAAGGGAGACTACTATATACACAAAATGCACACACACAACCCAGCAGCTTTATCATCATCTCTGGTTATGTGCGGGTGTGTGATGTCAGTCTCTGCACTGGACACAACCTCGGACATCTGTTGTTTAAGCTTGGGAACAGACCGCCAGTACCATGTGACTGAACTACTGTAGAGTTGGCCCAAGCACATGCTAAACACTAAAACTACAGAGTTCCTAACTTCTTGGACTTTTGGTGTAGAGTTTAGAGAGGCTAAAATTAATAACGTGAATTTCTTCCCCTGTCTCCTTCTCACTTAGCTTAGTTTTGTTAAGAAATAAGAATCGTGCTATTTTTTAAAATCTGTTTCCTAAATATAAACTATTACTTGACTGAAAGTCAACTAAAGATTAAAAAGTGACAGTGTTTTACATTGACCTTAATTTTTTTTAAATATTTATTATGTATACAATATTCTGTCTGTGTGTATGCCTGCAGGCCAGAAGAGGGCACCAGACCCCATTACGGATGGTTGTGAGCCACCATGTGGTTGCTGGGATTGAACTCAGGACCTTTGGAAGAGTAGGCAATGCTCTTAAGCTGTGAGCCATCTCTCCAGCCCCCGATGACCTTAATTTTAAGGACAGCTTTAGTAGGTGGTGTGGACCTCACGGTGACCATGCTGCTTGACAAGGTTCCAGCATTTTGACTTTGGATCACAATTCTGCAGCACCCTTTACTCTCATTTTTAATGATTCTCACTATTGTGCCTTTTCCATGGGCTTCAATGGAGGATAAGGATGTGTAGGCAGGGTTTTTCTGACCCATCAGCCAACTCCCAAAAAAACCACACACTTTATTACTAGTTATAAATACTTTGCTGATAGCTTAGGTTTGTTACTTTCTCTTGCATCTTAAATTAGCCCATATATCTTACTCCCCACCTCGTGGTGGCACCTCTTTTCAACAGGGCATGTTCATCTGCTTCCTCTGCATTTAGCTTTCGACCCCACTTTCTTCCTCTACACTCTTTGTCTTCAAGTCCCACCTAACCTCTCCCTGCCCAGCTACTTAAAGCAATCAGAAGGCACCTTGACCAAGATACATCTTCACAGTGTATAAAAAGATTATTCCATAACAAGGATGTATACAATGGTAGCCTCTTTAAACAAAGTAATTCTTTGGAAAAAAATCCCTGCCACTGTGAAACCATGTAGCATGGTTACTTCCTGTTCCCACATAAGTTAACAGCAAGATGCTAGCAAATTTAGATAAACATGTTTGATAAATAAGGCATATTTGATAATAAAGAATTATAAATTCCTAAGGTCCACTCAGGTTCACACTAATATTTGTCGAGCTTCATCTTTGTTTACTTTTAAAACTTTAGTTATTCTGATAAACTAAGCCATATTAAAAAAAAAAAAACCTGCAATAGTCTATAATGGAGTGTCTGGTCTCCCCAAGAAAGTCCTTTTTCCAAGGTCAGTCATTTAGACAAAAGCTCCCATTCCCTGTGGGGCTTGAAGAAAGTTGTCTGCTTGCTAAAAAGGGAGTCATTCTTATCTCTGGCAAGAACTTGGGGCCCTCTATTAACATGACTGGTGCCTGTTGTCAAAGTCATGCTCGGTTCACCAATTCCTCACCACAAGGCATAGCCCAGCTCGCATGCCCCTTTCTCCCTGTGCAAGTATTAGAGTATAAACGGTGTAGCCTCTCTGAATAACGTGGTAGCTATCCCAGTTCACCCTTAGATCGCGTCAGTCTCCTTCCCCTCACTGACTCCACCCCTCATCTTTGGGTTCTGAACTCACTGGAGCTGGACTCTGGCAAATAGGTTGGTTTTGGAAAGTTTTGCTTTTGGTTTTTTTTCCCAATATGTATGTGATTTTAGTCTCAAGATGGATTTTAAAAATCCTTCCCACTTTGGATATATAAAAACCAAGTTAGGGGGACATGCTGTGCAACCACTAACTAGCACTACAGGATACAAGGCTTGCTGCGGCTTCCTGGCTGCCAGTCTATGTCCAAGTTCAGGGAGACCCTGTCTTGGAAGCATAAATCAGGATGATAGACCAGCGTGTTTATGGTCCTCTGGCCTTCCACTCGGATGTGTGTGCCTCACACAAAAGTTTTTCCACTCTAAGGACCTTACAGAGTTTGTTGTGATGTCCTTGTCTGTTTCGTCTGTTGAGCTCAGTTACTCAGTTTAGTCTGCTGAATAAGTGAACAGGACGATCCCTAGTGTCATGGAAGTCTTCCCACGGACACAGAAGATGTCATCTGGAATCTGAGCATCTTCACGTGCAGTTCTGAAGAACTGGCACAGAAATAAAAAGCTGAAAAATGGCTCTTACTGTTGACCATTAAGCAGTTTGGAGAAAATCTCTAGTCCTTTCTGCCCTTGACTTGTGTTCTTTTGTAATTTTGACATACAAAGTTTTTACACTGAAATAGTTTGTGATTTGGAGAGTATTCAAAATGATATGATTATATGCTAGGGTTAAAAGTCCCCAAAATAATTTATATAAGAATTAGTGAAGTGTTGAAGGAGCTGTGGGCTGCGTTCCTGCTGCCCGGCTCCTGGCTGCCTGGCTAGCTTATGCCCCAAAATAATGACACACAAACTGTATTGATATAAACACTGCTTGGCCCATGTCTATTAATGTGTGTAGCACCATGAGGTGCACTTACCAGGAAGATTCTAGCCTACATCCATCCTGGGTCGGAGCTTCATTGTGTCTGCACTGGAGAACAGAGGCTTGGCATCTGAGCTCACTTCCTCTTCCTCCCAGCATTCTGTTCTGTTTACTCCACCCACCTATGTTCTAACGTATCAGGCCAAGCAGTTTCTTTATTAATTACCAATGACCTTCCTCCATCAATGAAGCTATATAAGGTATGCTAAATCTCAAGAAACTCCAAGTTTCAAAAAGCAAAACCACACAATTGCCAGTGGGAAGTCCAGGTGCACACCTAAAATGCTGTCTTCTCATTCACTAAGTTCCCTTAGTGAATCAGCCCTAAAGTTTAACATAATGGATATGGTTAGTCTACACCTCCTAAACTGTTGAGCCTTCTCATCGCTAAACCTGATCTCTGCCTGTGTGATGTATTTTCAAGTGAGTCTGGAAAACCAACGACTGCATTCCATGCGAAAAAAAAATGAGTGCACAGAGCCCAGCAGTGGTAGAACAGGCCTTGAATCCCAGCACTCAGGAAGTAGAGGCAGGCGGATCTCTGTGAGTTCGAGGCCTTCCTGGTCTACAAGATCTAGTTCCAGGGCAGGCTCCAAAGCTATAATCTCGAAACAACTGGGGGAAAAAAAAGTGCACAAAAGGACCATTCTTGACTGCATCTTATTCTCAGAGAATAATGCCAAGTAGAAGAAGGCTGATCGTAAAGATTCCATTGCATGATTCTATTGACCCACTAGAATGGAATGATAGTTGCCAGGTTAAAGTGGGCACATGGCTGTGACAGCAGATGGACCACAGGAGGGATCACTGGTAGAACTGATCTTTAACTGTTGG